TATATATATTATATATATTATATATATATATATAGATTATCAGTGAAGCAAATCTACCCTTAACTATGGACAGCACTACGGGTCGAATCTTCTCCAATAAGTACTTTCGCATGGATGAATCTGCATCACTAAACTTTTATGTATCTGTTACGGACAGTGCTGGCCACGAAGATGAAGCGCTTGTCACAGTCAGTATTTTTGGTGCTCTAATTTTTTTAGTGTAACTGTAATTTATGAGCTTTCCTACCTGTGTTTTAGATAACTATAATTAGTTATGAACAACAAGTTGAACTAATCTTTGACGCACCTTCAAACATCATATCGGTTCAGCTTAACGCATTACAAAGGTCGGCTAATAATTTTTTTAGGACTTTCGTTTATTTTATAGAACAACTAAGTATCACTTCTTTTATTACCTACTAGGTGTTATTTGTTGGCTGTACTTTGAAGCCTCAAAAAGTGTGTGTTTAATTCTATAAAATTTAAGATTCTTGTCGGTAGCGACTGGTTTAACGGCCATTGTTGATACAGTTTTTACAAGGACCAATTCAACTGTTATTATGGCGCATTTTTTAGATCAAAAAAATTCATTTGTTGCTGTACAAGATGCACTTAAGTTGGTCTTTTTGCTTGGAATGTTCTCCTTTAATTGAAGAAAAGAGTAGCGACCAAAAAAAGTCATTGCAGGAATTTAAATCGTGTGAAGTTACCGTCACAACAGAGAGCCAAGCAAGCGTTGCTGAATAAATTTGGTCTTATCAGAGCCGAGCCATCGACGTTAATGAATGACGATGATTCAGAGTTTACAAGTGAAATTAAGCCAGTAGTGTATGGCTTAGTCATATCACTTAGCTGTTTGCTAATTGTGTTAATAATTTTATGTTGCCGGCAAAGAAGGAAGCATGCAAAAAGATTGCGCGGCGCTGGAGTTGCTGACTATTCAGCTGTGGCAATGACTAGAACTTTACCTCGTACTGGAATCTGTCACTCAAAGTTGGTAAAAGCTATCAACTTCTTTCATTCGTTATCTGCTCTGCTAAATAGTATTAGAAGTTTGCAATATGTTGCAGGAGTTTACGAGCATCGAAGAAGTCGTTGTGGAAAGATAAAAAAGTTGAAAACAACATATACCCGCAACAGCTTATTGACGCACTTCAATCAACAGAATTGTAGCATACGAATTTTTTATTTTGATACTGTATTGCAGTACTAGTATTTGTAAATTTATAAAAAAAAATAATTTTTAGAATTTAGTTACTAATGATTTATAATTTAATAAGGTCAAATTTTTTGAGGTAAAAAGTAGTAAAAATTTAGTTCTAATGAAGAATTGAAAATATAATTTCGTACAAAAAAAAAAGTTGTTCTGCTTACTTTATCATTGACATTGATGCATTTTTCGGTTGCGGAACTGACCGAAATGAATTATCAAAACAGAAAAATTTTTAGAATATGAAAAAAGCTATTTTTTGTAATTATTTAATAAAGCTTTGACTTACAGAAAAAAAGAAGTTGTGTTTCTCAAAAATTCTCAAACTTAATGAAGTTTTCTTCTTAAAGAAAAGGTACTGACCTAATAGAGTTTTTGCTGTTTCCGTATGCTTAGTGCTTCTATCAGTTACTGTACCACTGACTTAACACTTATTGGTACGCTTGGCTACAGATTGTCCTATAATTTCTTTCTTCTATAATTTCTATAATCTTATAACTTTTTAAAGAAAGTTGCAAAAATAAAATAAAAAGCAGCAGAAAAATGTGTGAATTTCCTTTATACAGTTTATTAATTTTCTTTTGTAAGACTGTCTGAACAGTAGTTGTTTGCAGCGTAACTGTTTGCAGTTATTCAAAATGAAAGGACCAGAAAGAATGAGATAAAATGTGGCAAGAAAAACTTTTGATAAGCATCAGTGGAATTAAACTTCCAATTTTAGTATACAAAAACAACAACTTTGGAATTGTTAGGCGATGTTTCAAAAATGGACTGAACAACAAATTAATCAAATTATTCTACAGAAAATTTTCAACATACATGTCTTTTTCTTTGAAAGAATTTGAAAAATATTACATGCCAGAAGATGATAGTCATTTGCTAGTTCTCTTTGTTTCTAAAACGATTAGTGGTGCTATCCTTTCACGTTTGATCAGTACTGTTGTTGTGAAAGGTCTGATGCACTTTCTTATAGTCTAATCGGTAGTACTCAAAAAAACTTCAGAGAAAGTTGGAACGGTTTTAGTCTGGAAGATCATTACCAGACTAGTGGGCGCCTGTTTTTATGTATCCTAAACCTTACAAAAAAAAAGTGCTAATTTTCATTTCAGACAGAGCTGGTCTACAAGCTGTTTCGTAAACATTGACTAAATTGTTTTTTTATAAAGGAAATAAAAGAATTTATAAATTTTCAAACGAAAAATTGGTGGTGATATCAACATAAATTACAAAGTTGAAAACGTATTTTGAAAAATGGAGAAAAATAAATCATTCCTTAAATGTAATTAAGCTGTACAAAAAATGCATAAGCATAAGAGTGAATTACCACAGCAACATCGAGTAAGAAACTGACCTGGACGTTCAATGTAGAAAAATTCTGTCTACTCTTTTTTTTTTAATTTACATTATGTATGAAAATGGAAATTAGATAATGAAAAGATGCCTTGTTTGGACATAAAAAGTACTCAATGTTAGGTGAAGGATATCAATGTTTTGCGTTTAAAGCATCTGTTAAGCTAATGAAGACGAATATAAGAAGATGTCCAAGGCCACAACTTGTCAATGATCTATGCGTATGCGCTTACAAAGCGTTAGATGAAAAACAGGCCAAACAGCTAGAAACTACTGGCTAGCAGCTCTAATTAGTGCTGATAATAAATTTTTTTTTCTTTTTTTTTTTTTACCGCAGAAAAGCCATAACACAGTTGTTTTTCGATTTAGGCAGCCGAATTACAAGAATATCATGCAGTGTCAACTACGCTACTGCTTCATGCATAATCTTTCTTAATCCTCAATGGACTTGACACGTCGAAAGGGAAAAAATCTATACACAAACGCGACAAACTACACTACTTTTTGAATTGAAGCTGCTTCAAGCCGAAGTGTAAAAATAGCCGAGAAGAAAAAAAAATAAAAAACGCAAATTAGAACACTTGCGAAATTTGAAAAGAGAACCAAAATGACATCAAAACAATAACGCTTCAGTAGGTATCAACCAGAAACCGGTTGAACTAATAAGGATGAAACAAAGAGTAGTTTGACAAAAACGCTTCTAGGAGCGGCGCATAAGTTTTGATCAAAATAGTTAGAAAATTTTATGATTTATAGTTGGCTACGAGTTCGGTACTGTTATTTTGTGCACTTTCTTTTACAGCTTTTTTCTAATTACAAAAGAGTTTAGCAAAGCCTCAAGGAAAAAAATAAAGAAAAGTGAAGAGATGAAGTGAAAATGAATGCAAAAGTAAATAAAGAAAATAAATAAAAATTTTTACTTTACTATTTATTGTTTTTTCTCGGTTTTTTCATTTTTCTTCAAATTGAATTCTTTTTTGCTTTATTTTTCTGCAGTACTCTCCTCTTAAATTTGAAAAAAAAATAAAGAAATCAAGAAAGAACGAAAAAAGTTCTATATACCGATACGTCAAAAGCGGTAGAGAACAACGGTTGTAGAATGAGAGAAAAAATTGTTGCGGAAAAGTTGCCCTGACTATAGACGCTAAACAATTTTCAAAATTTTCGCTGTTCTTTTTGTTAACAACGGCCTCACTGTTATTGCGTGTTTTGGGGAGAGCACAATGTTTTTGAAAAAAAACAATTGCAAAATTAAGCACCTTATTTGTTGCTTTGATCACTGTAACAACTCATTTGTTTATTGTTTTGTTTATCTGTCTCTCCTTTTTGCCAATCTGATTTCTAATTTCGTTTTGGATGTGGAAAAGAGAGAGTGGTGAAAAGAAAAAGGAAATTTTGTTCGATTTATTTTCTTTTTCTTCTCTTCTCTTTTCTTTTTTTTTCTTAGTCTACATAAAGAAAAAAATCTATTTTAGTTGAGGATAAACGATAATAAGAACATCTAAAATCAAATTTTGACATGCTTATCAATAAAAAAAAAAATAAAATAAAATACATTAGCATTCTTTATTTGAAAATACTTATAATAGCTGCCAAAACAAACAACAAACTACCTAAATTACCGCAATTGCAACCAAAAAAAAAGATTATTGAAATTTCAGCAGCTTTGAGTGAAGTATAATAACCAAAAAAAAGGTGAAAAACTAAAAAAGAATGACAAAATAAGGCAATGTCTAGCATTTTGTTAGTGTGATGCATTGTGGTAATTCATTCATTTTGTTGTTGATTTTACAACGAAAGAAGCAATGAACATAGAAGGCAAAAAAGTTCCTGAACTATCAACAGATTTGTTCAGATCAAAATCTCAGGAGGATTAACGCCTCAAAGAGCTGAACAATTCTCTATATCATTATTAGTCATGTAAAACAATTGCATTTTGCCTTTCTTGCTCATTTTTTTTCTCTTTCTTTTTTTGGAATTTTCAGTTTTGATGTTATATTTCCTATAATTATTTGCTCACTTGGCCTTTTCGGGATATCTGATTCTGCAAACGCGATTTATGTACCCCAACACTGCAAACTGACTTGTTTGTTTGCGCAATTGTTTGAGGTTTTTTGTGTATATAGCATTTGCTGAACACAACTTAGAATAAGATAGTTTTAAGTTAGTTTCCAATTTGACAAATGCAACATTTTTCTGAAACTTAATTTACATATTTTCTGTAATTAATTTGTTTTTCTTGTTTAGTCTAATATCTTTAAAAGCAATAAACACCTTAAAATAGGCTAGGTTAGTAATTTGTTATCCTGCATTACTTTGTGTTTGGTTTTGGTACGACAAAATTTTGAGTATTGCCTGATAAAGACAGTGTACTAAAAAAAATTTCATCTTCTCTTCAATCACGTAAATAAAGGTGTAGTTAATTTTTTAAAAATTCAAATAAAGTTTTTGCTTGATTGCAGCGTTTATAATAAAGAAAACAGAATGCAGTGAAAGTTTATTTTTGGTTGAGCTAGTTAAAACAAAACTAATTTTAAACTTTTCCGGCTTACTCGCTGTCTTCAGTTTATTCAACAATCATATTTGTAAAAGATTTCTTTCTTTCTTCATGCGATAGGAATTTTCAACTTTTCTTTGAGTTCAAATTTGAGAACTTCTACAACCGTTATGGAAATTATATAATTTTTGAGTGACTATGTCTGGAAGAAAATAAAAAAAATATTGGCGTGTTTATTTTAAGCATTATTCATCTTGAATTCTACTATATCCAACTAAAATGTGCTTGAAAGCATGAATGGCACAAGAAATTATTCATTTTTCTCTTTTTATTTTGTCTAGTTAGAAATCTTTTTTTTTATTTGTTTTTTTTTCTTGGAAGTTTAGAAAGAGTTTATTATGTTAGCGACTACTGTATAATATAAAGCTGTCCAAGTGATATAGTCATGTACCCGAATGTTCTGGTGCATTTATCTGTTTATTCGTTGGCGGATCTTGCGCTGTTTGAAAAATTGCATATTATTATCGTGACATTTGTTCTTAGTTGCTGTTGATGCTGCTGTTGGTGCCGTTGTTGATGCTGCTGGTAGTGGAGGCGGTGATGATGGCGTTAGCCAAAAGAGGAGAGGGGGGGTTTGCGTGCACAAAAGCTACTGCTTTTTTCGTTCTTTCACATAGCACAAGAACGTATGTTGGACTGAGGCGAGCGAGAGGAGAGTAAGGGGTGGAGATGGTTAGCAATAAACATCATCCAAGGCTGCTAGCCAAAGCACAACTGCATATGAGCACTAACCAAATGCGATCAATTTTTTAAAATGGCACCAAAATTTCCGTTCTGTTTTTGCGAATGTTCGTTGTTTTCTTCCTTTCATTTTTATCATACTTTTAATTGTTTTGTCTTGTTCAATTTTTTTCAAACTAATTTCAAATTTTTTGCACAACTGGTCTTCGTGAAAACGCTACATTAATTGCAAAGGTTATTTGGAATCTAGAATCACTTTGTAGTTTATTGCATACTTTCTATTTTAATTACTAGTTAAGAGAAGAGAAGACTAAACTAGCATTAAAACATGACTAGAGACTAAAGCATTATAAAATAATTTAAGGTCATTATTGT